TTGAGTTAGCAGAAAAGCTTCAATACTTAAACCTGTCTATTCCAACATCTTGGGACTCAATCATAGTCCTGATTATAGAAGCATCCTTATTTCAGGGGTCCAACAATACAAATTTATATTGTGGGGCTGATGCTACCCTCCTGCTTTTAGAGCTGTCCTTAGGTCCTTAATCACATAACATTCCACAATAGCAGGTTTTGACTGCATTTCTAGAAACACGTGATTACACGTGGGTAAGTATAACAATAGTTATTAATTTTAATGAATGGGCGTGTTTTCTACGCCCACCCATCGCCTTTTTGCATTCACTGTTCCCAGCTCTCCTCTCGCTCCTGGTCCCTTAACAGCAAGAGGGCCTGGGAACATGTACAGGTCCTCCATCCGTTTCAATGAGAGGGAGCTCTCCTATTATGCCATTAACATCAAGCCTGACAAAGAAGGACTCCTCGAAAAGAAAGGAGCAGTCAGGGGTCAAGGTATTTCCTTAGTAGCCATTAGTCCACGTTACTCTTCTTCATTTATGTGTACTATGCTACTTTCATAAGCTTATGAGTGTATCTATTAAGTAAATGCATGTACTTGTACTTGTATCTATAGTCCTTCTTTTATCAATCTCTGTTGTGTGATTTAGCCCTGACTTGGGATTTTCCATTTGCATAACAGTCTCATTATTATTGTTATTTTTGTTATTTTCCATTTGCTCCATGTATACATACGTGCATGCATACATTTGCATGTGTCTTGCATGCGGGACCTGTTTGTTATTGATAAATCAATTTATTTTAATTGGTTTCCTTTTAACTAATTTGCTTTAAGTTACGATTATTATTGTACATTAGTATAATTGCTTTACTGCATGTACACTCATTCTTGTACTTGGATACTTATGCATGTACCATTTTGTACATGTTCATGATTTTAACGTTAATTGTATTTGTTCCTCTGTTCCTATTGAAATTGCATTAGCTACTGCTGATATGTTGCAATTATATGATTACTGATGAACGGTGTATTAATTTATAAATATGAGGGGTGTCTTTTTTGTGTCGTGTTGTTGTTGTTGTTCTCTTGCAGGTTATCGTCAGAGATGGTTCAGATTGAAAGGAAACTTGTTGTTTTATTTCAAAGTTGATGAACTACAAGACTGGGAGGTGAGGGAGAGAGAAAGAGGGAGGGAGAGAGAGGGAGGGGGAGAGAGAGAGAGAGGGAGAGAGAGGGGGGAAGAGAGAGGGGTGATTATAAAATGAGCAAGTTTAAATGTTCGATTGAATTGTAGTGAATAGGTAATTTGCTTTGAAATAGAAAGTATAAGCTATAAGTACTGTGTACATGTACATGTATGTCTCTAAAACTCTAATGCTTTGTTTTGTAAATTGTGCATGTATTCCATTATTATAATAATAAATCATTACTTTCCTTGTCTGGACCCTCCACTGTACCCGTAGCTGTAGAATTTCACTCAAAATACATAAAACTAACTGTATTGTTTGCTTTGTACGAGTTGAAGCTTTAAATGGAGGACCGAATCAACATTGGCACACTACAAATCAACAATGGGTCGATGTACTGTACATGTACATGTATGCATGTAGAAGTCGCTCCTAAAAATGCAATATTTTATAAACTCATTTTTATTATCTTCCGATGCCTCTGGCCCTTCATTTTGTTTGTTTTATGAGTGCTCAATGTAATTTTAGAGCCACAAAAAAAACATGAAATGTTGAAAAACCAACAGAAAAATTATTCCTTTTTTTGATATTTTTATCATAGTCTACTGGAGATCCAGTGGGTGTCATCATTTTGGAGAGATTTAGAGTCGAAGATACTCACTCTGACAGTCAACCGTTTAGCTTTTCACTCTGTAAGTGGACACCAATCACTTTCTTACTACATGCATTTGTACAATACCCAGTACTATTAATGATCAATGTACACAGTGGACTATTACATGTAGTTTAATACAGACTTCTCAATACTGTTTACATGTACAATGTACATGTTCCTCCCTCTCCCTTTCATTCTTGAAATAGCTATTGCTTCATTCCACTTCCTTTCATATCGCTCTGTCTCTCTGCTAGACACTTAGCTTTTTTGCATGGACACTTAATCATTTTGTTAAGTGTAAATACCCTGTACTATTAATGATGTACACAGACAGTGCACTATTAGTGTGATACAGACTTCTCAATACTACATGTACACGTACAATGTATGTTCCTCATTCTCCCTTTCATTCTTAAAATAGCTACTGCTTCATTCCTCATCCTTTCATATCACTTTTGCTCATCCTGTCTCTCTGCTACTTCTAGCAGATATAGAATTTCTTAGAGTCAATGAGAAGTGCATAATAAGCAATGATGATTGATCACTTTCCTCTCATCTATGTAAATGTACATTGCATTAAGCACTGGCGTTAACGATCCTTGGAATTTAGTATAGTATGATTAATTGCTTAATCCTGTTTTTATAGTTATCACTATTGTAACTTAAGTGTACTATAATGCCGTATGTATATGTACCATGTACGTGTATATTTGTGAGTGATTGTTTCTTTAGCATTTGAGGGTGACCTGTCCAGAATGTATAGCCTGAAAGCTTTTTCACATCAGGAGCAGAAAGGATGGATAGAGTCCCTTAGCTCAGCAAGGTAAGGCTGTATTGATTAATAGGGATAATATATTATACAGAGTGAAATAGTAAATGCATATGCATGTATGCTTGGCTGTATTATAGTGATATACATGTACATGTAGTAAATGCATGTTATAATTATGCCTAAATTCCAAATGCAGTGTGTTATTATGCTTGTTCCATATAAAGAAAGTGTTGCTAATAACAGGTATGCATTCTGGAAGCTTTGTACATTGCACATGTACATGTATGTCCATATGGTACTACATTAGCACTAACACATGCTATTATAAAAGACATATACATGTACTTGTGTCATAATGTATATATACACATGTGTATATGCATAATATTTCTGAAATAAGTAATGCCCTGCCTATAGTGGGTTAAGCATTTCACTATACCTTTCCCTTTCCCTTTATTAAGTGAATTACATGCAATTAATTTTACTAGTGACCTGAAGCCTGCTTGTTTGTTTACATGTACATGTACATGTAACTCCTACCTTTATATGTAAATTGGTATATAATTGAAATACCACACATGTACTTTAATGCACATACATTCAATGAGGCAACTCCCTTAACATCCTTCATTCTTTTTATTGTATAATGTACCCTATACATGGAAATTTTTGAGGGGATAAATTGCCACGAATTTCGCGAAATGAGGGGTCATTTGCGAGATTAAAATACATGAAAATTAAATATAACTCTTCAAATTGTTACAACAAGCGTAACAGGGTAAAAAATATTCCTATAATTGATTTCACCTCCTTGCAAGTACAACTTGGTCATTATTAAGACTTATAGAGGTTCTCTCTACCTTATAATGCTTCTACAAAAGTCTTTAGACAGTATCTTTATGCTCTCTTGCTGTTAGAAAGCTCTTAACTTTGTCCCATGTTTAAGCCGCCATTTTGTTTGCCGTGGCTGCCACACCCACTCACGTAAAGGAGCGTGGGCGGGTGGTTGCTTCTCCAATACAACATGTATAGAAAAAATGTAAGTGTGGACATACAAATAAATAAATATATATAGATAGTGCGACAGTGAATTCAATTATAGGAACGACCTGGGAGCTTTGCCCCCAGGTCGTTAAAAAGGTGGCACTTTAAAACGATTCACGAAAATTTGGCCTCGAAAAATCCTGCAAATTCATCATTTCTGAAAAACTATCCCATTGAGAATTTCCATGTACATGTATAAGGTATTAGTGTATTCATTATTAATGTGTGATTGTACCTATTCCTAGAGTATAGAGTATAGAGTATATGTATAGAGTATTAGTGTATTTATTAAAGTATAATGATTGTACCCATTCCTCTAGTTATGAGAAGTTAAAGTTTCGGATGTATGAGCTACGTGAGCAAGTGAAGCTCTACTCTCAGACTGATACTGTGACTGTGAGTGTTTGTTGTTGACTTGTTGATAACTTGTTTCAATATTTATTGTTCTTTTACTACCTTTTGCTATTGGGAATAAATGTATAGCCTTATAGGGACAGTATTATCATATGTACATGTGTACTATATCATGTACTTTTATCATACATGTATGTACATGTATTTAATGTTATGTGTATGCACATGTACATGTATACATGTACAATGTACAGTGTGTGTATTATACAGTACAACTACATGTATATGTACATGTACACGTACAGTATAGTGGGAAATTTTGGAGGGAGTAAAATTTGGCGAATTGCCAAATTTTGGTGATAAGCGGATTTTAATTTGGTGAATTTGTGGCCATGTGTCATTGAACATGCGTATAATGGCTCAAAATGGTGGATTTTTATTTTAGCAAATGGCTATTAAAATGCTGATTCGCCAAATTGATTCCCTCCAAAATTTCCCGCTATACGGTACATAAACACAATCTTAATTATACATGTATAATCTTTACTATAG